CAGCTGTGGAAGAGCAGAGGAATTTGAAATGTATGCAATGTTGTGGCTCACCATGACATGAAAAAGAGTTGGCTGTGAGGGAGACCGCACTTAATAAGCCCTACCACATGTCTTATTAAGGGACTGCACAAAAGTGTCCTTTTGGTAGATTCCCATGAGCAGCATAGTTCTTGGCTGTTCCTTGGCTAAAATCTAGTGTAATGGCAGGGCAGCAGACTAGTTTTACTGCCTTGATCAGTGCCAGGAGTGCTAGGGGGATAGTGATGGAGCACTGGGATGGAAGAGGAAGAGGAGTTCTTGGAGCCCAGAACAGTATTGGTGGCAGTTTTGGAGAGAAGTGTAGCAGTTATAAAAGGGAAAGCAGACCGAGAGGTGAGAAGCAAATTGGAGAGTGGAAGCAAAGATAAGGAAAGTAGGGAAGAAAGGTGTGGTGGGATCAGTGTTTTTGGAGGCTTTACTGAAGGAAACAATGAGGGAAAAATTCAATCAGCAGGAAGAACAGGACAAGGGAAGAGAAGGTCAGGAGAGAGAAATGGGGAATGAAATAATGAATTGATGGGAAGAGGAAGACTAGTGGGAAGAATAAGCTAGACCTGCAAAGAGAAAAATGGGAGGAAGCAAGAGATGGAGTGGCTGGTAATATATGTCTGAGAACAAGGGCAATAGTAACAAGGGAAGAAATCGGATGAAGAATAGATACAAATTTATAGAAAAAATATTGTTTAAAGTTTTGAATGTTAAAGTGAAATATCTGAATAGCTTGGCCACCTTTCTTGACTGGAAGTCTTGGAAAATTTTATACTGGAGTGAGAAGCTTATGAGGATTTTTGGAAGATGTATGCAGTAATAGGTAAGAGAGAAGAACTTAAAGGGATAGGTTTTATTGCAGGAGAAAAGACGATGATTATTTGAATATACCTGAGATGGAGAGAGAAAAATGGTTGGAGAATTATGTACAAATAGTTATGTATGTTGAGAAGTACGCAATAAATATGGTATATAGACAGGATCATGGAAAGCTCAAGTGGTAACGAGGGCAGATGATAGGAGTCCTAGCAGGATAATGCACTTACCACCAGTGTCAGTAATCCAAGTTGGGCTACACTGAGGGCTTATAATGTATTTTGGACAGCCTAAACTCCATAGCAAGTGTGAGCAGATCTACAGAGGAGCAGCAGAGACAGGCAAGGGAAAATGGGGAAGAAGACGTTGGGTCAGAACGCATGACAGTGGAGGAGACCCCACAAGAAGGCAGAGCCAGTGAGGAAGAGTGAAATTTCACAAAGTCATGCAGCTGGTGACAGAGGAGGGAAAAGAAGGAAAGATAAGTGGAACAAGTGACTTTGAGACAAAGGAGAGAACAATACAGGAAGGAGTGAGGATAGAGCAGGAAAAAGTAGACAGCCACATTGGGAAAAGAAAGGAATTGCATGCTATATGAAGCTTAGAAAGAAGAAGGTGGACAAAGAGCGGGGTGGGGGAAGGAGACAGGTTGATAAAAAGCTCATCAGAGTTAATGTGATCTTGGACTAATGAAGGCGAGCAGGGAGCAGAAAGGTAGGGGAAAGGGGAGTCTTTCTTAAATGTTAAAGCAATAAAACAACTGGTAAAGACTATGGGGATGCAAAGAGCGGGAGGATTAGAGCCAACAGCATCAAGCAGCAGTGTAGAGGACTCGTAAAGTGGTAGACACATGAAATGTAAATGGACAAGCATGACTTTGTGTATTGCATCTGTAAATGTCAGAAGTGTGTTATCAAGGAAAAGGTGGAATAATATTATGCCAATATTAAGTGGGATTAAAGGAGACCTATGTCCACAAGAGTGTGGAATTCCATGGGAGAGGGATTACAAGCATTTTGTAAAGGGGTGGAGATGTGAACCATCATCGTGGGCAGGGTCAGGTGTAAACAAAGTAGCTGGAGTCAGTTATGCTCAAGGGTGAGGAAGTGGAAATGCGGCAAATGCAAGTAATTGTGGAAGGAGGACTGCAATAGATGATGGTAAAATTTGAAAAGAAAGTGTTAAAGATTTATAATATATGCACACTGGCTGGAAGATATAATAGAGGCATACAGGGAAACAATGGAGGGTAGGGAGGTAGGGGAGGATTTTGCAGAAGGTGTGGTGACTTTGGTATTCGGGAAGGGAAAGGAAGATGTTTTAGGCAACTGGAGACCAATAACCATTTTAAATGTACACTGCAAATTGATGGCAAAAGTATTGGCCAAAAGAATGCATGACTGCATAGCAGATGTGAAGACACAGCACATTTGTTCTGAGAAGAGTTTATCCTAGACCCTATTGTTAATGAGAGATGTCATATTGGATGTGCAAGAGAAGAAAATAAATATAGTAATAATAAATCTAGACTTGGAAAAAGCTTGTTGTGCGGGCTGGGAGCGATCTGGGCCCTTTTTCGCGCCGCGCGGGCTGTGGCCAGCAGCCCGGGCACGCTGGGTCGGAGAAAACAGGTGACATGCTAGAATTAGGCACGGGCGCTTAATGGTTGATTCAAGATTGTTTACGTACACCGAAGATGGTTGCGGTGTAGGCTGGACAGTTTCCCAGGCACAGCTCCGCTTAAATCCTCATTTGAGGACTCAGACAATATTCGGATCACTCCCACGGAGTTGTCGAGGCTCCGTGGATCCTTTTGCATGCAGGGAGAGGGATACGTCGAGAATTGCGAACGGCGACGGGGAGAGGCTAGAGGCTGATCAGACCCCTGTTGCCTGCTTGAAATGCACTGGGTTCGATAGGCTCCGCAGCGCTTAGAGATCTTGCCACGTGGGAATAATTTAGAACTAGCCAATGGTGGGGCACAAATTTGAATACGAATGGCGGGAACTCCTTGCAACGTGCATTTCTGTGCTGCAACAAAGAAATGCACCCTGCAAAGAAAGCTACTGGTGGTGGGAATTCTTTTGCACCGGGGTTTTCCTCTGCAGCAGAAAACTCCACCGTGCAAAAAAGCTGCAATTTAGCGGGAACAATTTAGCAGTGCCGAAGCACTCACAAAACAAAAATCACACCCTTGGGTTGTGACACTTGTGATAGGGTTGAACATGATTTCATGTTTGAAGTATTGCAAAGGATGAGGTTTCCAGAGAAGGTGATCGGATGGGTCAAAGTGCTATACAGTAAAGCAGGAAGTTGAGTACTGGTGAATGGTTACTTGAACAAAGCCTTCCCCACAGAGACAGAGGTAAGACAGAGATACCTGCTGCCCCCCTTTATTTTTTGTGTGTGCAGTGGGTGAAGACAATGGTGCAGAGAATCCATGATGGTAAGCTGATAAACGAAGATACCAGGAAGAGAAGTTAGATGGACATTATACATGGATGATGCGAACATAGTGGCTTAGGACAATGTATTGATCAAGAGGGTATTGAAGCATACTGAGAACTATGGTGAAGTGTCAGGGGCCAGATTTAAATAAGAAAAAGTACATTGATGGGTGTGGGGAATTGGGAGAATTTACAAAGTTTCAGGCTTTGGGTGGTAGAGAGTATAATCAAGATTTTGGGAATCCTAATGAACACTAAAGGGAAAGGAACAAAGGTGTGGGAGAAGATAGAAGAGTGAGACAGGTCTTGGGATTGTGGAGTGATAGAACATTATCTTTCAAGGGTAAAGTGGCTGTGGTACCCTTGCCAATCATCCTTTACATGGAAGTGGTGTATCCACCATCATGGCAATGGATAAGGAGGGTACAAAGGCAGATATGCATTTTGGTGGGGTAGGGGAAGTAAAAGAGAAAAGTTGCCAGAATGGAGCTATAAATGAAGCTATACAAAGCCAGGGAATTAACAGGCTGGGGAATGCCAGATTTGGAAAGCTTCGTGTATAGTTACTTTATAAGTATGTTCTATAAAGAAACAATGGAGGGGTGCCGAAGACTGCATGTTTCTGCCGTTACCTGGCAGGAAGAACATTAAGAAGATGGGACATGTATGAGGAGATTGGAAAAAGCCGTGAGTATGACAGCCACCCACCCACTATACAAAGATGGAGAGTTTCATAAGGGTAAATAAACTTGAGGGAGTGGGATTAGAATGCTTGAAAGACCATAAGAAGGTAATTTAATATTATAAGAAAGAAACATAAAAAATAGTTGGGGATCTCATGGAAAGACAGACGGCAAATGTGTGGAAAGAAGTGACAGATAATAGACTGAAAGGAGAACATAAGGATATCATATGGATGATGATGTGGGATATTCTTCCTGTGAGGGGCATTCAGCATAAATGGGATTTGGTAAGTTTGGCAGCATGCCCAAGAGGTATGTAGGGCTGAAGAATCTGGATTACATATATTTTGGGACTGCCCTTTTGTGCAAGAGGTATGGGAAGGGGTGAGTCATTTTTTGAGGCTGATCAATGTGGACTGTGACTTAATATATTAAATGGTATTGTATGGGTTAATGTCCAAAGGACTAGACAGACAGAGACTGATAACCATGGTATTTTGTGTGACAGTAACAATATGGAAGGTGAGAAAACTACTGTTGGTCAAGGGACTGGTTTTCACCAGAAGAGAATGTTTGGAGTTGGCAATATATGAATTGAAATGCTATGCGGATCAAGATGTAGATGAGATGGGAGAAGGCAGAGAAGAGATGGAGGAAAGAAGAATGACAGTGTTTCCTCGAAAAGGACAAAGGGATGGAGTGAAAATTGTTGCTTCCTTCTGGGTTGGGGGTGGTTTGTGAGAGGTTAGTGTGTTAATGGTGAAAAGGGGTGCAAGAAGAACAAGATACACACTCGTCTCTGTCAGGATGTTTGCACCATATGGGCCATATGTATTATAGTTATGCTTAGTGTTAACTGTATTCAATCAAATTCATAGTTGGTTTCCACTGCTGAGCACATGATGTTTTCAGCAGCAGTTTAACAGACAATGTATTTAGATAGATTTCCTTGTATGTGAATGTAAGGCAAGGGGCTTTTTTTTCCCCTTGCCAGCTGGGGAAGGGAAACGTATCTTGTATTTGGATAAATATGGTTTTGCTAGCAGTTAGTTTTAAGTAGTGCAATGTAACTATTGCTCCTTCTAGTAATCACTGAAAGGGAATGCAGTCTGGCCTCTGAACAAACTATATGGTATGTGTACTCCTGTCTACTGATCATTCTAAACAGGAAAAGATTGGCAACAGATTTTTAAAGTGACAACTGCCTCCCTAGGTAACTCAATATCAGGAAGTACCACAACATTTACATTTAAGATCAGATTGTATTAATGTATAAAGCAGTTCTCAAAAATAAGTGCTTTTTTTCCCCCCACTTTCTTCCCCCATCTTCATTTCTGCTATCCGCAAAAGATAATTTCATATACTCAGCAAAGCTGCAGTACTACAGCATATCTTCTATACTATTAATGGTAAGGTATGTCAACAATTTGTCCGATGATGCCTGGTGAAGTGCTAATCCTCTTGCACCTTCTTTCTTTTGTTTAGGAGAATCTGTTAGGCTGACTATTTCTGAAGGATCCTTGGGCTTCTTCCTGAACTCTGTATGTGTGTGTGTGTAGGTTCACATGTGGATTACCTAATGGACCGCTACAGATATTTCATCTTTAACCAAAAGAGCATGGTCATTCTGGGTCTCTTCCAAATAGCCTGCAGTACAGTGTGTGTTGTCAATGGATTCATAGACGGCACTTTCAGAACAGAATCGTCACTGAGTACAACCAGAGCACCCATATGGGCTGGAGTGGTAAAGTTGGAAAACCTTTTCTGTTTGCTTCTATCATGTGGAGAACTATAGTTCAGATGTTGGTTCCCTTGGCAGGAAAAACCTCTTGGCTTTTCCTCCACCATACGTCTTGGAATCTATGTGCTTTGCAAGCAGGACAGCAGATGGATACTGAGATAGGACAGGGAGAGGGAAAGGATATCAGACGGGGGAAGCAGAACAAGATTTAGCCTTTTTCACCAGGCACTGGTTGATGTATAGAAATTACATGTCCCATTATCCTCGCTCTCAATTTCAGGTTACAACCAAAAGAAAGATCTGTAAAGCTAGAAATACTAAGATTGAGAGGGAGGGTAGGTAAAATGTAATGCCCACATTGTTGCATAGTTTAAGTTTCAATTTAAAATTAGTACACCACCACTTCTTGTTTCCCTCATTATTAATAGGGGCAGCACTGCTTTAATTCCAGATTAGGAATGAACATTTAAACACATCAAGGTTTTGTAGGTGGTCAGAGCAGCTTGAACACATAAGGCTTCCAATATACCTAGGATGAAAGGTTAATGTGTCATTTTGTGGCATAAAATGATTCAGGGTCATTGCTGTAGAGTGATTGTTCTTTGGCCTGTTAAATGGGCTACTGGTTCAGAAAAACAGAGTCTCCAACATAAAATCTCTTCTGACTATTTTAAAGTTTCACACAAGCAGCAATGTGTAAAGATTATACTGTAATGGTGAAATCCTGGCCTTGCTGAATGGCAAAGCTCCTGTTGTCTTCAGCGTGGCTAAAACTCAAATCAGCTAGACTTCTGGGATGGGCACACAATTTTCAACAGGTTAGCAGGGAATGAAAGATGGGTAATCCAAAATTTTAACTGTTACCCTTATCTTGAACCCCCAAAATGTACATTCTGTACATTACAGGTGCTATGGCATCTGAGGCCTTTTGTCTTGGGGCATTTGAGGTCTTTATTTCACTGTTTACCAGCCTGTGAGTGTAAATATAACCTTAATTCGAGGAGTTGAACTTCCACCACATTTATTACTGAAGCTTTGTAAAACTTGACAAGGTAAGAGTTTCATAAAACTTAAATTGTATAAAACTTTTACCTTATAAAGACTGGCACGTGATTGCAGTACTAATACAAATAATAAGGCAAGCTTTGTGTGGGAATAGTTTTGTTCCACCAATGCCTACATAATAATAAAAAGTAGAAAGTTTGTTTGAGTTCCTTAAATGTTCTCATATCACCTGCCCACCCTGTTCATAAACTGTGCCCAAACTGTCCAGCAGTTGACTCGAAGTGCCTTTTACATTGGAATTGTCCTTGCTCTGCTCAGTTTCCTTCTCTTCATAAAATGAACAAGGACCTACCTGCTGAGCAACTGTTAGCAGCTCACTGAAACCTTGGTACATATATTGTTGGGTATTGTAAAGCTTCAAAACCAGTCTTGGAATTACTAACATAGGGTGTGATCCACTGCATCAGTGCTTATGTCCATCCAATCTAGTGCCTGCTGCCAACAGCAGCCACTACTGGATGCTTCTGAGGAAGGCAGTGAAATAGCCTGTGTTTCTCTCTTAATGAGGGCTCATCCTGATCTCTAATAGATAGAGCAGGAGTGGGCAAAATGGTGGATCTGGCCAGTGGATCTTGCCGACTCCATTTCCCAGCAGCTCTGCTTGTATCGTCATGGCCAGTTTCCATGGAAACCCTAGCACGGGGCCAAGGTTTCTATGGAGACTGGCCCCAGCAGCACTGGCAGGGAGTACTGCTGGGCAGGTAGCTGGGATCTTGCAGCGGTGACAGCATGGTCCGGAGCTGGGGCAGAGCTGTGATCTACTGCCCACATGACCCAGGCACCCCTTTTTCCCCCTCTCAGATCCAGGGTGTGTGGGCAGCAGGTTGCAGCTTTTCCCTGACTCTGGACCATGCTGTCACTGCTGCAAGATCCCAGCCTTGACCCCAGAGCAGCTCCCCACCCAGCTGTGCACCTTGCCAGTGCTGCTGGGGTTGGTCTCCATGAAAACCCTGGCCCTGCATTGTCACGGGACTGCTGCTACTGGGGTCTCGATGGAAACCAGCCACAGCAATGTGGGCAGGGGCTGCTGGGAAATAGAGTCCACTGCAGGCCCAATCTGGTTTGGGTACCGCGCTTTGCCTGCCCGAATTAGAGACTGGCTTCAGCCCTGAAGTCTAGGATTTGTCACATTTACGGTAGACCTGACTGGCAAAAACCCTGCATTTTTCCTTGTCCCAAACACTCCTGCAACACCATGCATCACTGCTTGCCTGATCTCCTGGACACCAGGTAAAGCAGTACAACCTAGAAACAGGGTGGGAGGCAGGTTGGCTCTTTGCTCCTTCAAGTTGGAGGCTGCACCTAATGGTATCTATATGGGCTGCAGCCTTCCAGTGGGATTACAAGAACAGCCTGGTTCCCACATGTCATCCAAGGCAGGAGATTCATGCAGGGGTGAGTGCCTGTGCCTGTAGTCGCAGTCTGTGTGCATGGTTAAAGGCACAGTTATTGATCCTGTTCTTCAGTGCAAGTTATTGTGACTCAGGGTCATATATGTAACTAGAAAGGGGAAGGCCTAGGGGCTAGTTCTTGCACTGGCTGGATATAAATGACTATAGATTCAGAAATCACAGCTTTATTGGATAATAATTTTGTCACCTTGTCTATAATTGACATTAAATCACCTGATGACCAGAATGTAAGTCTGTTAAAGCCCACTCCATTCACGCCATAGCTTTAGGAGCTGGCATTGCAGGTGCACTGAGGGACACAGTAGGCATTATGGTCTAATGTAAATACTTGCTTTAGGTTGGCAAAATCTAGATTAAATAATGAAAATAGCCAGAAGCAGAACATCTTGGAATGGGTAGTCTTGCTGAATTCAGCTTAACAAACCACACTTCGAGTGAAGACTAAGATGCATAGCCATGGGCAAATGCAGGATTTTGAAAGAGGGGTGCAGATGTTGTGGTGCATCATCACATATAATACAACACGCGTATCTCCAATTAAAAATAAACTAGAAGTTTTACTACTAAGCTAGGGTCCTAGGGCTGTATTATTCGGTTTTGAATTGGACCAAAAACGCACACAAATGTATTGGAATGTGCATTAATTTGTTATATCGTATATTATGTATAAAAACACACAAAAAGGCCAAAAAAATCCAAAGATGTTTCAGGAGTTCTGCAGTCATTCAAATTAAACGGGCATCTCTCTCTTTCAGATTCATAACACAAAATCTAGCCTTCCTGAGCATCTTGACAGTGTATCCAATGCTTCACAGAAACTGTAGTTTCATTTCTGAGTTGATATTTTTTGCTAGAATTAAAAACAGTCTGCAGGGCCATGAAAAAGGAGTTACATTACCAGGAGCCAGCTCAGAGACAGCAGAATTGCAGAGGAGAGGCTAGCTTGATTAGTAGAACATCAAGACCATTACAAAGGAGGGTCACTAGTACCTGCGGAAGGAAGAATATAAAAAGAAACAGGTCGATTATCATGATTATAAAGTCAATTGGCTCTGTCACTGCTGCCTGGATAGAAATGCTGCCTTCTTACAATTAGTTTTAAACTTTGGGTGGAACAGGAATCAAAGTGGGATGCAACTGCACCACTGCACCCCTCCTCCTGGATCTGCCCACATGCATGGTCTTGGCAAAATGCATTCAAACAACCCCTTCACACATTTTCCCCAATTCCTAGTATGCCCTTCCCTCCATCTGCTGTCACCTGTGAGCTCTCTGACAGGAACATGTATGAGATACTTCAGCTGGGTTGGTTGAGGACTTACCATATTAAAAGGAGAGCCTCAAAATAATGGTGATGTAGAATTGTGTAGTCTTTTCACATTGCTGTTTACTGATGTACAAAGGTTGAAGTAAATTAAACTACTGCACAGTGTATAAATGTGCACCAACTAAAGAGTTCTCAACAATGAAAAGCAGATGACCTTCAATTCCTTGCAATATTAATTGCCAGTTCCATTTTGGCTAATGGAAAGCAAGTGTTAAGCAAGTGTAACACCACTGAAATGTGACATTTCTCCTCAAATTATAAAGCAAGCCTGGAATAGCTGCTATCTTGGCACTTATGTTCAATAGCAGAATACTCTTCACTTTCTAAAGAAATGGCATAATGCCCTGCTTGGAACTCCAGCAGCTGCACAGAAAACCATGTTTGAAGCCCATCAATTATTGTGACCTAAAATGCAAGCCTTCTCCAGAGTCCTATCCTCATTCATTCAATGGAGAAGCATGCCCAAGTCCTGTGCAGGAACCATGCATGAACTTAAATAACCTTGCCTCTGCTTATAATCAGGCTTCAGTGACTCCCTTATGGAATATTTCTGCTTTAAGAAAATTGTCATTGGCAACATAGTAGCATAGTCTCTTTCACATGCTGCTTTTTTAATTGCAATTTCTTTTTCCTTCTGATCTGCAGGTCATGAGTGTTCCTGGAATTCTAGCTTTATTTTCTTCCCAGAGAAAGAATCCAATTCTTGTAAGCTTTTACATTTCTTTAAAGGGGTGCCTAAATACTTTTTTGTAAACTGCACTAAGTTGGCAGTGTTCTGACTTTTTCGTATGCTAGTTCTCAATCCTGCAGCAAGAGCCTTGCTCCCTGAGTTTTTTGTGTAATAGTGCTAAATTCTTCAACAAACTGAGAATCTGGCAGTGTTAACTGATCATTTCTTGTGGATCAGTTATTCCACAGTTGATTGGATTTTAAATTCAAGTGTTTGCTTTTTAAGGTAAAGATGTTCCCATTGTTCTCTAGTTTGCTGAACAAAGTTGTAGTGGTTATGGTAAAACAGTAACTGTGATAGCATGTATAACCAGATGGCTGCTTAGCCAGTTCTTTCTGGCCAAGTATACTCCAAAAGATTCTGTTTATTAATAAAGTGAATCGCCAGAAGAACTTTGGCTTTTACTTCATCTAATTGTTCTAACTGATGAACCCAAGATTTGGGGAATTGGGATTAGACAGTGTATGTTATGTAAGTGGTTGTTTAATAGACTTTAGCTGAACTAGACTATGGCCTTCTGCTGCTGCTTTTTCCTATTGCTCTTCATTACCACCCTATAATTATAAAGCTTGAGACTCTGCTGCATTGATTCCAGATACATTTCCATTGTCAGCCTTTTTTGCCTCTCTCTCCTGTTTAGTATTGCCCAAACACTCAAAATTGGAAGGCTAGATCTAGAGAGCCCAGAAGAGATTTCTAGAAAAGGAGGTGACTCAGGTGGTTCCCAATTGTGAGTCCCTCTTTAAAAAATTACAGCTGGTAAATGTGGATTGTTGGAAGCCCTTGCTGCAGTGATTTCACAATGCAAAGGCACTAGGTTCCCATATTGCTCTATTGTGCATCCTCCATGCTTATTTTACAAGGGTATCATCACGTGCCTTTTGCAACAAAGTCAGAACATATTGACCCACATTATAGGGCAAAGAGGTCCTTTAATTCCTCTCTCCACACTCACCAGTTTTGTTTTTTTCCCCTTTCCCTTTCTCAGGTGAATGCAATGCTAATTGCCTCTATATTTTCTTGTTTCACCACCCTCGTTGTAATAATTTATGCTTCCCTAACATTAAACTTTGGTGAAGAAGAGGAAGACTTGAATCATGTACCAATTCATGTTGTTCATACGGTAAGTGTCAGTTTTGTATGTTGCAACCAAACCATCAAAAGGCAAACTCCCTGCACTGCACATCAGCTTCTGGGACACTGTGTTGTCTTAGACCTTCAGATATTCTAGAAAGTGGATAAAACTTCAGATGTCTGAGCTAACCTTAAACTGGCCATCTTGGATACTGAATACAGTGTAGTTACAGCAGCATGGGGTTCAGTGCAGGCTTTGAAACATAACTAGGATCCTTGGTAAGTACTCGGGCAGCTATCCCACATTTGGTTATTACTGTTGCAACTATGCTAGTCCTCAAGCTAGCTAAAGGTTGACTTGGGCGTATCTATGAACTACAGTCATACCTTTGAATAATTAAGTCATCCTTGTGATGCTACTCTTGAGGCACCTACCAAGATGTTGTGCTTTACCATATAGATTCTTCATTACAAGATTCTTGGGTCCAAATTTTTGGTTCAGCCTGGTACATTACTGTGCCTTTTCCTAGTCTCCCTCCCTCCTTTGTATGAATGCAATCCAGACCTCCGCTCCTAAGAATTCTAAAATCGGATTGCTTTTTGAATTCAGCCTTAATAATCAATCTGCTGCTCTAAAAATTGTGGCACTGGTCACTGTCAAAGTTGATGAGAGGACTAGATGTACTGCTGGCTTGATCTGGCCTAGCAGTTCCTACAATACTGAATAGGCATCTTGGGTGACATCAGTTTAAAATAGCCAGGATGCTGCCAATCAAAATATTATAGGAGTGTGGGTTCTGTCCCATGATGTAAACGTCCAGTGGTGAGGGCCTGAGGTGTTGCCTTGTAGACCAAAAGTGTCTTGTAAAAGCAGTCAAGAGATTAGGATGTATGCTTGGGGCTAATTCCTTTGCACACCTAAGTGACACTGACCTAGCTGCATAACTGCTGTTGTTAGCAATTACAGTTTGGCTCCATGTAACTTTATTTGGCCTGTGTTTGCTTTCTGAGCATGCTCGTTAGGTTTTTTTCTAGCTGCAGAGATGCCTGGGTAAGTACTAGACCCTCCTGGGTCACGGAAAAAATATGACTATTTGGCAAGGAGAGAGGGGCAAGGAGGAGGCATCTCACACTTTTCATCCTGATTCCCTAGTATTTGTGGCACTTGTCTGGGGGTAGGGGAGCAGGAGGCCTAGGTTCTAGGCACCCTTTACCCAGAAGGGGTTTGACCCTCTGGGTCCTGCTTCCAACAAAAGTGTTCTAACCACCAAGATACCAGTTCAGCATTACCCAGAGCACTCTTTAGCCTTCTCTTGAGTATGGCTCATTCGATAGCTAGTGATCATCAGGTTCAGCAAACAACATCATGCATGAATTGGAGGAATTAAACAATAAACTTTAATTGTGAAGGAGTAGGCAACCTCTGCAGATCTGTTGTGCGTCTCTGACTAACTAGTTACTCCCCGTCTTGGGGACCATCTCCCAATTTCCAGTTTCCTCAATCTCCTATTAGGGAGCTTCTCTCCAAATTATAACTTCTGCCACTACAGCCAGGAGAAGAACAAGCCAGAGGACTGATTGAGTGAGATGGCTTTTGCTCTGGAAAGGAATGGGCCTTGATTCTAGGGCTGAAAGGGGCAGAAGCTAGCCCACTACTGTTTATTCATTTGCTTGCCCTCTTGAAGTTGGTCTACTAGGCAGCCACAAAGAAAAAAGCAAGCTAAATGGTGGGTGGCTTAATGAAATAGATGCTGCCCTGGAAAGATAATAATAGTAGGGGCTCTAGATTCAACTTGGTTCTGTTTGTGCTGTGAAACAATATCGTGTCCCAAGATCAGTATGCCCTTTATGAAGAGAAAAGTAGGACTCTTAGTTTTAAGTTTTTACAAATATTTCAAAACTGAACTCTCATGTGAACAAAACGCAGCACTTTGCTAAATATGGTGGCATTTAGGGGTCAAACAGAAGACTAAGTCTGAATTCCACTAAATTTTGCCATGTGTGTAAGACAAATCCCTTTACTGCTTTGCTTCTCAGTTTGCCGATTTGTAAATTTAATATTTACTTTTTATTAAATATTTTGACATCATGGTGGAAGAGGCACACATAAGTGAAAAAGATATACATCTTTTTGTACATTTGTACAAAAAGTTGTACATTTTCAGAATCCCTGACTTATCAAGACAGCTGTAATGTAGATGCTGAATTTTAGATACCCATTTCAGGAAAATGTGGTGTAAATATGTGTCCATTTCATACAACATTGGCTGACTATTACTTCTTTCTGAAGGTCAGAATAAAATTCACCTGGTTCCAGTAACAGCTTGCTGCTGGGATGAATGTGTTATGAAAAAATGCAGTCATATGCATGTCTGGCTAAAGCCAACTTTTTAATGTCAAGCTGCTCGGATACAATATGTTATACTATGCAACGATGGTATTAAAATGAATGGTCATTCAGCATCTACTTGTAAGAGCCAAAGTAAAATTATTTCCAAAGCTAGTGTTGGTGGATGTTGTTAGTGTCTTGAGACAAGGTGCTTAAACAGTCTTAATCTCAAACTGCACAATAAAGAACAAAAATAACAGGAAAATGTGTTTGCTTTTTGAAAGGATAGCAAAAAGAAAATAAGAGCAAATGTGGCAGGTAAAATTGGGGACTATAACAGTAGTAAAATGAGAAGTTTCTTTAGCTAGCACTGTTGTAGCATTTGGTGATGTAATACTATTACTGCTATTTTACAATGTAAAATAAATATACTTATGATGGAAAAGTTCTGTCTTGCTCTCAAAGCCAAGTTTTGAGAAATTGCCTTCATTGTTTATTCATCTGCTGCCTCCTTTGTTTCTGTTGCAGAAGTTTGTTCTCGATAAAGTTGTCAAAGGTGCCAACATAGTGATGTTAATTGCATCTATTGGCAGTGTGGTGGTTGTGCTAACTATTGCTTACATGGGCTGCCGAAGTCTTCCACATTGTTCATGCTATGACAGTAGGACTGGAATGGTACGTGAGTGCTGACAGATTTCTTGGACTACTTTGTAAATCCTCTTCCCAAAGTGGTACAAGGCATGTTGTCATGTTTCAGACAGCAGTACCTGAGCTCTGATGACCTGTTTTTTGGGTTTTTTCATTGCCCCACCCCATCCTACCAGGGCTAATTCTAACTGTCCAGGGTCACAATTCTTTACCTTTTGCAAAAGAGGTAGTTCTCCTTCCTCCCCTTCTATCTATCCCCCATTCCAAACTGCTGCCTATTTTTTACTTTAGGACCTCATTAAAGTAGATTGATTCGAGATGCAGCACAGTGAGGGAAAACTTGTTTTCTCATGAAAATTGTCTCCCTTTTACAACATGAAAATTTTGAAATTGATTTTACTAGCACAGTGACTGTCAGAGCAGATTTACTTTAGAATATGAGCATATTACAAGACCTCTAAATGCTCTGATTCCACTTCTGTAGGATCATAGGAAAACAGAGCTGGAAGGGGCTTAACAAAGGTCATCTAGTCCAGGCCCCTGCTCATGGCAGTATCATCCCTGACTAAACAATCCAGACCAAGTGTCTGTCTAAACTGCTTTTGAAAGTTTCCAAGCATGGAGAATCTACAGCTTCTCTAGATAGCCTGTTCCACTGCCTGACTACTCCCTTAGAAAGTTTTTCCTAATCCCCAGCCTAAATTTCCCCTGCTGTAGCTTGAGGACATTATATAAATACTATTATGTCAAGCAGTGGTATAGTCAAGTCATTCTTGACATGTATACTGAAGATGCTAATATCATTATTTGGTGTAGACTGCTGAGAAATTTTTCCACGTATCAAATTAAACTTCCCTTTGGGAGTTTTATTTTGGTAACAGAAGTTGTACTCTTCATTCTAAGCTTATATGTAATTCAAAATTAATTTTCAAGAAAAACTGCTGGAGCACAAATAAAAGGAATTCAATGGAAAGTTAATGCGTCTCATTTGTAGGAATGGTTGCAACCAGCAGAGGACCAGCCACAGACTGTGGAACTGGTTTGCACTCTACAAAGTAAGTAGCTCCCCCTTCCTTTTATACACTTGGAATGATGCACTTTGGTCATAGTTAGATACCTACTGCTGTAAGTGTGTTACAGGCCAGATTCCCAGTGCTTAAATCAGTTGTTAATAGAAAGGAACCCAGCATTTGCCCCAAGAAGCCACAGTATGTCTAACAACCTCTTTTTGTTCTCACACAGGTCATGAGGACAGAATTTTGAATTCACCAATTCAGTTTCCAGACCAAGATTTGGATACAGAAGAAGAAACATCCAAACCTCCCCCATATATCAGACTTGCTTGAAAAATTACTGAGTATTTTAATGCTAGCACACTAAAACTGGAGAACTTTTTTTGTTCTTTGCTATGTTTTCTAAGGACTTAAATAATCTTATGCACATTCTTCTTTTTAACCAAGGAACTACTGAATGCCCAAAGCTTAGGAAAGATCAATGCTACAGTCAAGGAACATACAGTTAAAGAAGATCTGCAGATTTGTGGACTGACTCAAATCTTGGTCTATTACTATACCTCCTCTCTTCCAGGAAGAAGGAGCACCTCTCCCCCTGCTTTTGTTTGCTTTTACTCTGGCTTACAGTAGAATTTGTGTTGCAGTTTCAGTTTACTGGTGCTAGCTTTGAACATTCAAATATTAAACCATGTTGAATTTTTTAAAGATATTTTGGGAGCATCTCCATTTTTACTCACTTTTTAATCTTTTCTCTCTATGAAACCATTCCACAGCAAGAGAAACACTTGCATTTAGGTAACCTTAACATTTTCTTTTCATGAATTGCTTCTGTAAGGTAGGAAACGTATTCCATCAGTCTCCAAGCAGGCTAAAATATCTGCTGTTAGACACCTTGAATGCCATTTCAAGAGGTGGATTCAGTCTTTTGTAAAAACTTTATTTATATTTTATCAATGGATATATAATAATTTTAAATTTTCTGCTTTGTGCTGATCAGTTCCTTAATGCGGTGGGAGCTTTATTCACAATAGTGGCTCTTACAGTGTGTTTGTAAATGGAGCACTTTACAAAGAGTCTTGTTTAACCTCCAGCCCTTTAAGGCATATCTTTTTACCTGCTCTCACAGTTGGCTAGGATTAGTTATTGCTTTTTTTTCTCCCTACTTGGAGCCATTGTCTTATTTCCTTGTCTGGATGGAAATTTGATAATGACTGGACACATCTGCATGAGACAATAACTGCGCAGTAACCAAATAATTCTGCATAGTAGTGCATCACAGCATCAACAGTGCTAATATGTTACTCCACAGTAGCATCACTAAAAAGGCATTTGCTGGTGCTCCTGTGCAGTAACTCCTGGTTACTGTGCATTTATTTTGTACTTGATTATATAACTACTAAATAAATGAGTAGTAACCACTATGCAGTAGTCTCTTGTGTAGTCGCGCCCACAACATCTGTTTTGTTAAAGGACATGGACTTGAGCCCCAAAGTTAAGAAAATTCAGGCTACAAAGCTATGCTTAGTTGTTTCCTATGCCCAGAGATGCATAACATCTCTAGAAATCAGCAGGAGAGCTCCCTGTCTACTTCAGCTTCCAGGCAGCTCCCACTCTTGCCAGTGCAGAACACGTAAACTCTGTCCAGTGCTGCGGTGTAGGCATTCCTTCATCCATCTTAATTGTAGGACCTGATCAGGTAGCTAGACACAGAAAGCCTAGGCACCTCGCTCAGGGCTGAGACCCCTGCTGCAGCAACAAGGTGCCAAAACCCTTTCTGGACTGTTTTAGCTATTCATTAAAATTCTATAGCTCCCCTAAAATATAATTCAACACTCTGCTGATAAATAATTCTTTAGCTTCAATTTTCATTGCAATAACATGACATAGATCTGTGAGACAGACTATGATCTTGTTGGTAATATTTGGTTTAAACGTGTGTTATAATAGCATTGCATGCTTCAGATTTCCTAACTAACTTGTACAGGGGGAAAAATGGATTGAGAGGCAGAAGCCAGAAGCTCCAAGGCTCAAATGCAGGATGCCAATAAGTATTTCTGTTGGCTTGCCAATGGCTTGCGATTTGTCTAGAAAAGGGCACTGCTGTGAGGTGAAAGAGACTAAATGAAAGTCTATAAAATTGGGTTGTCAGTGGTCACACTAAGAGGTTTGGGAGCTATTGAGTTCTGCTCAGCTGCCTCAGGCATGCACTATTTTTTCTCTTACTAACAAGTCAATCCTTCATGTAGCAAGAAAGCCAAATCATTAATAATCTGACTTTCTTCCCTTTCCCCTCCCCTCCCACTTCCAGTGTGAGAACAGAAAGGTAGTTCTGCAGCTAAGTACTGTGTAGTGGATTGAAACCACTGTCATCCTAAGTACTGTGTAGTGGATTGAAACCACTGTTTTTCAGTACTGAGCATTCAATAAACAGGCACAAGTGGAGGTAAGTCCTGTAGGACTTTAAGATGTACCCCTGTCCTATGGAAATACTTACCATAGGTGGAAGGGAGTGGGCTGGGTCACAGACATGGAGGGAGGGGGCAGGGAGGCAGCAGCTGGTGCCTATTCTTAGCTTTCTCCACCTGTAGCTCTGTAGGGGTCATGGTCAGTAAGGACCCTGATCTTTCACTGTTGCTGCTTAATGTTAGGTCAGTGCTTAATAAAATGGCAGTCACTGTCACTCATATTTAGGATGCTGTCGCCAACCTCACTTTGTATCACTGACCTGGTTGGACGAGACATCTGGATCAGCGTTCGCTCAGAAGGTCCCAGCTGTGTACTTGGTGCAGCATCAATGTGGGTCAGAATTCAGAGGGGCAAAGTGGTGATGGTCTGCAAGAAAACCTAGGCTCTAAAAGGTATCTGTTGCCAAACTTGTCCAATCCAGAGTGTGTCTACCTCATGTTCAAGGCTGAGGATAGAGGGGATATTCTGTACACCCTACCCCTGACAGATTCTGACTGCACACCCAGATTCCCTGATTGAGCTAGCCAGGGTGGTCTCAGAACTGGTGTTGAGACCACCCAGACATATGGTCTTAGGCAGAGATGTAATAAGGCATCTGGGCACCTGGGCAATTTCCAGTTGTTGATGTGGCTGTGGCAGCAGCTGTTATTTTTTTAGTCCCCTTCCTCCTCAAGTCAGCACCCAGGGCTGCTACCCTGCCTTAGTTACACTACTGATCTCAGATGACTTCAGCATCCATGCTCAGACTGGCTCTTCAGGGATGGAGCAGGAACTTCATGGACTCCATGATAACCATGGTGGGGCATTCCAGAAAGTAACTGGGTCCGACACTTGAGGTGGGGTGGGAGGTGCTTGGTGGGCCTAATGTTTTGCACCTGCCTGGCTACAGGCACTCCAGTTACTGGGACTGTTATTGCAAAACCTCTATCATGGTTGTCCCACTGCCTTCTGAAAGCACAGGGGTCCCCTGTCCTCTGATGCTCCCTGTTGGGGTACTGGACCAGTTCAGCTGGAGACTCATGGAGCCAGTGGGGTATCCAGGTTGTAGCTGTATTGGTCTAGAGGAAAAGGCAAGCAAGACTCGTAGAGATGATATCTTTTATTAGACCACCAGGAGCGAATAGATGGATAACTCCTCTGGGCAGTTGGTTCATAGCTGGTATAAACTGTGACCACCTGAAACCTGAGATCCTGCTCCTGCCTTTGTTTCAAGGTAATTTGCATTGTCACAGATCCGCACAGGAGGTGAGAGGCTTCACACCAGCTATGAACCGACTGCCCAGAGGAGTTTTCCATCTATTGACTCCTCCGTGAAATCCTATGAAATACAAACTTTCATTTCTACCCAGGAGAACTTGTACAATCTTTTCTCCAGTGCCTGATGAAGTGTGTTTATGCCCAAAAGCTTGCAATTATTATTATTATTTTTTTTTTTTTTTTGCGAAAATCGTGGTGATCTAATAAAAGATTTAATCTCTACTACAAGTCCTGATTGCCAAAACTCTCTGGGAATTATCTCACTGATTTTGATGGTTACTTAGTTGCTGGCCTGGTCAGTTCATGGAACAGCACACTGAGCTTGGCCATAGAACCAGTGGCACTTGGGCATCTGCTCCCACTGCTATGGTGAGATGCATGGTATACTGAGACAGGAGTGCAGGTGGCTTTCAATAAATGTCAAATCTACCTGACTGTAGCACAGATCCTTCTCAAAGGACTAAGTGTATGCATGCACAAATATAGACTGGGAAATAATTGGCTAGGTTGCAGGCCTGAATAGAAGGACCTGGAGGTTACAGTAGGCCGTAAGCTGGATATGAGCCAACAGTGTGCTCTTGTTACAAAATAAAAGTCAACAGCATGCTGGGGTGTATTAGCAGGACTGTCACTTGCAAATCAAGGGAAGCGATTCTTCCATTCTGTTAGGCACTGGTGCAACCTCACTTGGAGTACTGTGTCCAGTTTGTCCATATCTTTCTTTCAGAATGGGGCCCAGTTTGGAAAGAGTCCAGTTCAGGCAACAAAAATGATTAGGTGCCTGGAAAGCATGACTTATGATGAAAAATTGAAAGAACTACAGTTATTTAGCCTGGAGAAGAGAAGACTACAGTCTTCAAATACCTGAAGAGTGATTACAAAGAGATGAAGATAGCTTTGTCCCTGTGGGAGTAGGGAACAGGACTCGGAGTAATGGCCTCAGGATGGAGCAGAGGGAATTTATGATGGAGGTTAGGAAGAGCTTTCTGACTATGAAGGTAGTCAAGCATTGGAACAAGCTACCTAGAGACAGTATAGTATCTCCAGCCCTGAAAATGTTCAAATGAGGGGCTTTCCAATAAATGCACTGCACAGTTTTCAAGAGTAGCTTGGAACGACACTGGACTGGGCTGCTTTAGTCAGGGATGATCCTGCCTTGAGCAGGGGGCTGCATGACATCAGGAGGTCCCTTGCAGCCTTACTTTCCTATAAGTCTAAACCTAATTTATAAGTTAACAATAAGGAAATCTAGTTTGTCGTGTTGTGGCCTTTCTAATACAGTCTGTAAAATCCAAAAGCAAAAGCAGCTAAAAGAAACAGCTGATTCAGTGCTGAGTTGGTTTATATTCAGTTTTGCTTTATGATAGGTAGGATCTAAGCTATGGACATGCAGATAAACATTTCTCACTTGATCTGGACCATTTCAACCTACTGTTTAAGCAGAATTAAACATGTTTCAAAAAAAGTAATAAGGAATATAGACATTTTTGATGTTGGCACAAAGCAAGTCCAGGAAAGCAGGCAATTAAAGTTGCTTCCAGCTGGCTTGCATCAAATGCTTTTGGTGGTCAGTCCAGGGTATAGTGAAAACAAAGCAGAGACCACAACTGTCAGGCTGCCAAGAGCATGCCTAGGCCCTGGGACTGACCATCTTTATTCCTAAAGCAGGTCCCCAGGGTAATGACTGAGGCACTTCAGTGCATGAAGCTTGCACTCTCATTCATCATGCATCTCTTCTATGAACAGAGATAAGGATTTCTTAGGGTGATACCTTTTATTGGACCGATTACGTAGTTGAGATGACGTTAGATAAGTTAGAATGTCTTTTGGATGCAAGACATTCTTCCTCAGGCCTCACAGGAAACCAGGAACATCATAGTGAAAAGCAGGGGAATTCTCTGTCCCTTCTGCATGCCCTCATGTCCCTTCTGCTATTTTTCACTATGCTGTGCCTG